TTGAGCCACACCTTCACTTCCAGGTTTTTTTTTTGCTGGTTACTTGAGAGATAAGAGGCACGGACTTTGCTGCTCAGGCTAGCTTTGAATCCCAGTCTTTAGATTTCAACCTCCTGAGTAGCTAGGATTACAGACATGAACCACCAGCACCCAGCCTTTAAATTTCATACTATTTTTTTCTTTTGGGGACCTAGATTTTTTTTTTCTTTTCAAGAAATGACAACAGTAGTTACTATAAAGCTGCACACTCAAAATCAGTAAAGCAGGTAATTGTGTACCCAGCTAGCTTGAAAATACTGCTATTATGCACTTGATATGACACCTGACCATTTCACAATCATTCATTAGTGATTCTGTACTTTCTTTCCCAGGTCATCATTATAGCCAGTAATTGGTGGCTGGATGAATTAACCTTACAAAAATGACAGGTCCCATATACCATCACAACCACCATAGACCGTATCAAGTTCTGCAGTTTGTCAACGCCTTCATCTTCAAGTGTAGTCACTATTTCTTCCTGTGTGTCTGCATTTTAATTGAATACACAGTTAGGGAAATAGTGCTAGGCAAGTCTGACTTCATTCCTTAACTCCATCTTCACCTGCTCATTGGGGCTGAGTGCCCTGGTGGTGTACGCAGAGTGTTATACCTGAAGACCCTGTTTCCTATGCACCTGGCTGCCTAGAGTCCCCAATCCTGATTTCCTTGTGTATTTTCTCCCTGGTATCCTGAACTTGACTCTGCACCCTTCCTTCTGGTCCCTGCAGCGGCTTCTTCACTCTTAACTTCCGATCTTCCCAGCTCTGTGTCTCACAGCATGGCCCTCAGTTCCTACGAGAACATTTGTTAACATATCTCTCCTCCAAGGGTTTTCTTTCCATAGTTCTGAGCTGATCATGGAGCGTGGTGCGTTGTTCACAGGGGTGGGGGCGGTAGTACACAAATGCATCATCTGGTTTCTGGCTGGTAGCACAGGTTTATCAACGTGTGGATTTGAATGTCTTCCTGTGGACGTGTCCGTGGTGACTGGAGACCATCTCTGTCTTTTTTGCATGAACCACAGTTGAGCTTAGCTCTTGTGGGCACCCTCATGGGAGGTTCTGGCTGGAAGTGCGGTGTTGGCTAGGTGGGTGAGTGTGGAAGTCGACAACTGCATTGTTTATTACAGAGAATGGTTTGCTGTCCCCATATTCAAGCCCTAAAAACTACCCTCACTTCATCTCAGATTTAGGGAAATAAAGCTCTGGTGCCCAATGTCCAAGTAAGCATTTCGGATTACTCATCAGAAGTAGGCCAAGCTCAGCCTTCTCCGGGTCCAATTAGAGAGAGAAACAAATTCAGTGGTGCTGTTTGTATAACTCCTGGGATGTGCTCTAACCAGTTAGTGCAGGGAGTCTAGATTTCTGGTCCTGAGATCAATGGCCAGTCCTACTTTCAATAACTTAAATAGGCATATTTAAAAACCAAACAACAACAACAAGAACAGAGTAAAAAATGGCCACGACCAGCATTCCAAGTGCAAATTCAACGACCCATTTCTCAAGGTCAATTCTTTGAATGACCTTCACCATTGCCAACAGTGGATGATACACAGCAAACTCAAAGAGGGCCATAGCAATGCTGTGTGAGTTGCTGTCCAGTTCTCAGCTAACTGGTGGGTTTCAAGTCGTCAGACATAAAAATGTTGGTGCTGAGAGAGTAAGCATGGGACAGGCTCCTCTACCTGAAAAAAAAAAAAAAAGCACTCTTGCTTTTGTTTTACTTAACTGAAGAAACAGGGACTGAATCTCTTCAAGATGTATTTTCCATGTTTCTATTTATTTCAACCCTTAAAAACTTTTTCTTTAAACTTTATTTTTTGTTTATGTGCTACCAAGGAATCGAACCCAGGGCCTCATGCATGCTAGACAAGCACTCTACCACTAAGCCAAATTCTCAGCTTCCATATTTTGTAAATTTTATACATTCAAATTGTCACCTAGAAAAGGCAGAACGTCCTTAAAAATCTAACGGCACATCTTTCAATTAGTGAACTTTTTTTTTTCTAATCAGCTTGTATTAAATATGTCTAGGCAATTACAATTACTTTCCACATAGAATCATGATTAAGGCAGTGGAAAGTTGATGTTGGTTTCTGAAGAAAGACTTTACAGTAAGACTTAAATCTTATTATATAAGGACTTTTTATATAAATACTTTGACAAATACAGGCCATTTTCAATTAGAGCGCCTCCTTTGTTCAGATAAATGAAGCCTGCAGGTAAAAATAGAGATAGCCAGTGAGTGGTATTGCTGGCTCTAAATGTGATCTCTACACCTGCCATTAGAAAGAGGAAATGAAATAACAATTATAGAATAGAAAAATCGAGTCAAGCAAATAAAATAACAAAGACTATTTGCACTAATAATAAAAGGAATGCCATTTCTCGATATCATGTAACAAAGAAGTACATACACTCCCTTACCCCCACACTAAAACATCTGTTTTGCCTTGACTATTATTCCATTTGCTTCACATCCTGGTAAATGTCTCAATTGTTTTTCTAATTCTGTTTTTGTTGGCCTAGCATGGTGAGATGCGGTAATACAGGAAATGGGAATGGCGTTCGGTGCCAAGAGCTCGTAGCAATATTGACTGTGTCGGGAGAGCAGAGCAGGCCTCTCTCTCCGGCTATGAAGGGACTTCTCACGAGGTTTGCCCTCAGTCTTCCATTTGACCCTGGGCTGGATTGTCAGCACACTCAGCTTTGATAAGACGACTCAAGGAAGACTATTGTGGTCCCTCTGGACTGAGAAGTGTCAGAACTCTAGCACCTGTGCCATTACAGGTAGAATGCCCTCTTCTGAAGAAGACTGCTTTGAAAAGCCTCACATCCCAGATTCCAGGTGAGCGTAGCAGTTGAGGTCTGACTCACTTGCATGGCACTGTCTCCGTCAAACTGGGAGGGTGACATTGCTAGGACACCTCTGGTGAAGTGTGTCTGAAGGTCCGCAGGTGGTGTGGCTGAGACTGCGAAGTTGTCTGAGTCCCCAGATGAAGTGGAAGTTGTCTGAGTCCCCAGATGAAGTGACACCTGCACTTCACATGGAAAAGAACAGGAACTGTTATCAGAGTGCTGTTCAACCCTGTCCAGAGCATCCATTGGCTGAGATGTACAAGCAATTGTGTTTGAAAGCAGGAAATCTCTACTTCAACCATGACACCTGACCACAGGGCTATTTCTTGAGCTGCCAAATATCTTTCTGTTGCTGTGTATTATGAAGGCCAGAGAGAAAAGGCTGCCCAATATAAACTCAGGAGACTCTAATTTTTTAATTTTTACAAAGTTACAATGATAACATCACAGATCTGTGCCTATCAATGTAGCACTTGGTCTAAGACCTGTTTAAATGAAGAAATTCAATATGGCAACAGGATATTAAAAATGTCTCTGCTACCAGCTGGCTGTGAATGGCTCATGCTTGCAATCTTGGCTGCTCATGAGGATGAGCTCTGAGGATAACAGTTTGAAGCCAGCTGAGGTTTTCCCATGAGACTCTTACCTCCAATTAACCAGCAAAAAGCTAGACATGCAGGTGTGGTTCAAGTAGTAGAGTACCAGCCTAAAGTGAAAAGGCTAATTTAGAGCCTGAGGCCCTAAGTTTCAAGCCCAGTATTGGCATGCACACACACACACACACACACACACACACACACACACACACACACACACAGAGTTTCTCAGCTAAATATATGAATCGTGCTACTCTGGTTATATAGAAATTTCAATTAGGAGAAGCCAGAAAACTATTTTCTGGGTGCATACACACGGGAGGTAAGTATGTAATGTGTCTGGATGATGAAAGAGAAGTCACTCCACCACCAATTCAATCTAGGAGGGCGTGCAGCCTAGAGGGCAAAGGTAATCACGTGACTTACCTGTATCTTTAAGTACCTCACTTCCCGGCATGCCATTCCGGCCTCGTCTAATGATTTCGAAACACTGGTTTTTCTGCTTGTGGTTGAGCTGCCCAAACCACAGAACAGGAACCTCGCTGGGGCAAGACTTAGAGGCTAAGAAGGGGGGGGGGGGGAGATGGGAGCAGCTTTGTGTGTGGGTTCACTTCCTATTTTAAGTCATTTCTGGCTAATTTTACCAACTGTTCTTTCTCTTCTTTCTTTTTCCCTGGCTACTTCTGCTCTCTATGGGGAATGCTGAACCTCAGCCCACTGGAAATGCCCACCACTCCCCATGTGCTGGTCTGAGCCTCACCTGGCCTGGATTCCCGTGACCTTGTGATACCTATACCTTCGTGCAGCTGATTTCATGGCTTGGAGGCTGTTTCTTCATCTTTGGTCAGAAAGATGAGCAATGGTTCTGCAGATCCTGAAAGTTAAATAGAATCAACGTGTGAGGGGGAGGCAAGCAGGGAAACTGGTTCTCAGGTACCTTAGGCAAGCGGTAGCTAGTGTTATAAGGGGGATTTTGAAGACTCTTTTGCATCTTTTTTTTTTTTTCTGTTGCTGTTGTTGGTTTGTGTCAGTATTGGGCCTTGAAGTCAGGGCCTGGGAGCTGTTCCTGAGCATTTTTGGGTTTTTTGGTTCAAGGCTAGCATCCTATTTAAATCCCATCTAGTTACCAGGGAAAGCTGAAATTCAGTGGTTAGGTGAGCTGTTGCATTTGCATAATTAGTTGCTCAACTAGGATTTCATTTGTGCAATTACACTCACTAAACCCCTCTGGGTTTATAGACCTCCGTTTCCCAGACCGGCCTATAAAATATCTGTTCTGTCTCACCTCTGATTTAGCTCTTGTAAATAAGAAAAACAACAACAACAAAAGAGAGCAAAACCCCACACACATGACTCTCTTGAATCTAATTTCAACCCGAGTGAGGCCCTGGCTTTCCCCAAGGCCAGGATCTTACCCTATTGATCCCTAACCTGAGCGAAGGGGCCCAGCACAGCACACCCTGGGCTCGGGAAGAGACGGGAAAAGCCGGCGAGCCGTCGGGGAGACGCAGCAAACTGTGGTGAGACTCACAGCAGCAAGAAAAGAGCAGGAAAGAAAAAGACAGCGCCAGGGTAAGTCAGTCAGAACCACAGCATGGCGGTGACTACAACCTGTGTCTGTCTGTCTGTCTTTTCCTAAGTGAGCTCTTGGGGCAGCTTGGTGGGCACCCATGTCGGTCTCCTGTAGAGAGCCAGAGCCAAGGCGCAGTGATGTTGTCTGTCTGTCTGTCTATCGGTGCAGCTTGGACCGGCCGATTAGCTGGGGTCTCTGCCCAGGTTTCTCTGCCGACTGATCTTTTAGGGATCCAGCGGAGGGACGGACGCGATCGCCTCGGAGTGCGCGCATCCGGGGAGGCGGGTAGAGGAAGGCGCACACCTGCCAGTCACACGCACCCCTGTTGGGTTACTTGGTGTGTGTGTGTGTGTGTATTTTGGGCACACCCGGGCGGGGCGATCGCGCGATGCCCCTCCTCCCCCGGCCCCGCGCCCCCCTCGGCCGCCCAGCCCCGCCGGCTCCGGCTCCCGGTGCGCGCCGGGCTCGGTGGGGAGGCGGCTCCGCGGGCGGTGACGCGCGCTCGCCTCCGCCTCCTCCCCGCCCCTTCTTTAAGGCGGGGCCCCCAAGTGGGAACCACCTTGCGGGGTAGCCGGGGAAGTCCGGCCGCCCTGGCGATGTCCTGGCCATCCCGAGCGGCGGCCACCGCAGCGGCAGCACGTCCGGCCCGCGCGCCCCCCGCACCCCCCGCGCCCGCCGGCCACCGGCGCGCGGCAGCCGGGGACAGGTGAGGGCAGTGCGCCCGGCTCACCTGGCCGCGCGCCCCGGCGCCGGGGACGGGCGTTCTGCCGGGTGGGGTGGGGTTGGGGTGGAGGGGGTGCGGTGAGGTTGAGGGTCCAGGATGTGGGGGGGTGCGGGGATCGGAGCGGCTGACACCCCCCTCGGAGCCGGCTGGACCGAGTTGCGCGGAGAGCGGAGGCCGGGAGGGCTCGGGTTAGCTCTGGGTTTGGAAGGCCGACGGCCAAGGCTTGCCCCAGGGCCGGCTTCTTCCCGCGGAGAGCCGGGTTCCTGCACCTGGGCACCTGCGCACCTGGGCCGGATCCCATGCGTGCCCTCGGGGCAGGATGGCAGAGTTTCAGATCCCCTTCCCCGGGGCGCTGACGTTTGCTCAGTTACCCAACAGCAGAGAGAGCCTTCGAGCAAGCCTGGTCCCATGAAAGGGGTGTGTGTGTGGGGGGGGGGGGGGGTTCTGGGTTCCTGGGGTTCTCTGGGTGCCAGAGCTGTGGGAGGTGTGGACGACCCCGGGGCCTGCAGGATGTTGATTGAACTGGCTTTGCTCTGGCAGGTGGCACACTTACAGGTGCCCAAGGGGTCTTCCCCGGACCCTGTGGTCAGCTACAGTAGTTCGGGGAAACCGATTCTGGTTGCACACCTGTTAAGAGCAGAAGCGAGCACTGTGGAGCGCACAGGTGTTGGTAAGAGAGATTAGCCACGTCTTCCCTGCAGGTGGATGCTTAGAAGAGACTCCTGAGTCTATTTACTCACAGGACTCAAGTCTCTTAAAGGCACAGAAAATGCCATTTGCACAGTGGTCATTCGCCAGCCTGCTTATCCACAGCGACTGGAAAAATCAAAAGCCATCCTTAAGATCAAAGTTCTTCAGAATCTGCTATGGATGATCAAAGTAGATTTCTATACCCTCAGGAAAATGTCTCAGTGAAACCTGTTATTTTTCACAAAGTGGGGGGGGGGGGGAGGGAAGGTGCTTAAACCCATTAACGGACTGGGAGAGTAAGCTTAGCGGTTAGTTTGCTTAACTTGACGCTGGCCTGGGTTTTAGTCCCCTTTTCCCTTAAAGAAAAAATAACAAAAAGCCCAAATCAAGTCAACTTCCGTGCTCGGCATCTTGTCTTGGGGTGTAGAATAAGCACAATAGATAGTACTCATCTGTTTAGATGAGAAACGGAGGCAGAAAGCAATCTGGTAGATGCTAGTCAATGACGGATCATTGAGTTGGACAAAATGACTAGAAACTAGAACTCAATTTTATATTCATAGAATCTACTTGCAGGGGTTCAAGAAGTCTGTCATGAATAATGTGTACTTTAAAAAAAAAAACATTAAACTTAGGTGGTAAAATTGAAACCTAGCTGGAAAAGCAGATGAACAGCTGTTTTTAATTAAAGGCCTATAATGTACCTTAACCTATTTTAAGGGCCTACTGTATCCAAGTGGAACCAATGAAGAAAACTTTATGTACCTTTATAGAAAGTTTTGTGTGTGTGTGTTCAGGAAGAGCTGGTGTTTGTGTTATTTGTGTGCTTTCTCATATTCTGCTTTGACTTCTTCCCATAGCTGTGAGTGAACAGGGACCATGATTGTTACTTAGAAAGGACTGTGTTAGTGTATTCGTCCATAGTCTTACAGAAATCTACCTAACTTGGAAAGATGACATCTGCTTTTCCTTTAAATCTGTTTCAAGAGAGGCAAATGCCAGGGGGGCAGAATTGGCAACGATCCTAGAGTGACTAATGTGACTTTTAACCACTCAATGAACAATTTCTTAAAAGCACATGCAAATTAGATTCCCCCATCCAAATGATGATAAGCTATGGAATAAGAGTTCCTAGCACTCAGAATTTTAAAATGATAGTTCTTATCATGGAGAATGAGTAGCTTCCTTACACATACACACACACACACACGAAAAACCCCTTTCCTGGTAACTGCACACAAAACCAGAAAGCTTTTCTCTCATGTCCTAAGTTAACTGTTAAGGACTTGTACTTGTGTAGAAAGGATTAAGATGTTTTTCCTGAATCATGCTTGACATGATTATTTTCCCCTCTCCATCTTCATTTGGCAGTGACCCTGGTAAAATGTCATCAACCTTTATCACCATTTTACAAGCATCTAAAAGAGCCTCTGGAGGAGGTGTTTCTAAACGTGTGCTTGACTTGGTTCAAATGGTCTAAGGGAAGTAGAGTGACCATACATGATACACTGAAGACATTTCTAGAAATAAAAACAATACACAGGTCAGAAAAAAAAAACTCCCAAAGGTCAAAGCCAAGTGGGTATGGGTATATGAATGTGTGGATGAGAAGGTTTTGTGAGTTCTGGAAGGCAAAGAATTCGGGGACCCTTTTGAAGAAAATTAATACAAAACTTGGAATCCCAGCGAGAATTTATTTAAAACAAGGAGATTCTGAAATCTTATTGGGTAATTTACCACCCATGTTTATATAGCAAGACTTCCTGTTTTCTCCCTGGCTTCTGCTCTAAGGAAAGTTGGTATCTGCTGGTAGTTTGCCCATGAGGAGCCTAGAACTTGGAAAGAGGGACGAGGTGGTTGGTGGAGTGGTGGCTGTTCCGTGTCTGTCCAGGGAGCCTGGAAGACATCCAATGAAGGCTCAGATAGGATCTGTGAGACCTACCAGTGATACTGGTTGGTTCTTCAAGGTGGGCTTTGGTCCTTGGGTCTCCTGACTGTCAGTCCTCATTGAAGGTATTCTGTGTTTGGAGTCTGGAGGAAGGCCAGGTCCTACTTGCTCAGAGCTCTTCGTCTCTTGGAGTTGCTTTCATGGCTCACAAGCATGCACAGAGGTGTCTTGGGGGCTCCTAGATTTGGAAGGGGGGGTCCTGGGAAGGGCCTGCGGGGTGGGGAGAGGGCCCTGGAAAGCCCCTGGTATTCAGGCCTACCTGCTCTCCTCGTTGGTGTTGATGATGGGCCCCGGTTGGTGTTCCTACAGTGCCCGTCCAGACTGCAGTGCCTACAAACCCGGGTCTTGCTCATTAGAAGTGTGTGCACCCCAGCCCGCCCCCCCCCATCCCCGTCCCTGTCAGAGCCCTATGAGGGGAGTATGGGAGTCCATGGGTTAAGAAGCTGTGGGATGATCTGTACGTGCTCAAGGTTCGAGAATCACCATTGGTAGTGTAAGAGTGCTGCAAGGCCTAGGATCTTTCCTGTAGTTAAGGGAGGGGAGTGAAATTAATATTAACATCATCATCACCACACTGTAAGAACTATTGAGTATCTATAATCTGAACATCTGAAATTAGGAGGTAGGGCTGCAGAATCTGACACTTTTTCCTTCCCTCCCTCCCTCCTTCTTTCCTTTCTTTCTCTTTCTTTCTTTCTCCTCTTTCTTCCTTCCTCCCTCCCTCCCTCCTTCCCTCCCCTCCCTCCCTCCCTCTCTCTCTCTTTCTCTCTTTCTTTCTTTCTTTCTTTCTTTCTTTCTTTCTTTCTTTCTTTCTTTCTTTCTTTCTTTCTTTCTTTCTTTCTTTCTTTCTTTCTTTCTTTCTTTCTTTCTTTCTTTCTTTCTGCCAGTCCTGGAACTTGAACTCAGGGCTTGGGTGCTGTCCCTTGAACTCTTTTTTTTTTCCCCTCTCAAGGCTACCACTTGAGCCCACACCTCCACTTCCAGCTTTTTGGTGGTAAACTGGCGACAGGAGTCTCAGACTTTCCCTTCCTGGGCTGGCTTCTAATCACGATCCTTAGATCTCAGCCTCCTGAGCATCTAGGATGACAGGTGTGAGTCACTAGTGTCCGGTGAGTCTGACACACTTGGGATGCCAACCTGATACCCCAAGTAAAACAATCACCCACCAAGGACCCTTGCTTCACTGACAAAATTATCAAGAATACTGAATGGGGGGCTGGGAAGCTGGCTCAGTGGTAGAGCGCTTGCCTTGCATGTATGAGGCCCTGGGTTCCATTCCTCAGCACCACATAAGCAAAAAGAAAAAAGCTGGAAGTGGCGCTGTGGCTCAAGTGGTAGAGCGCTAGCCTTGAGCTGAAGACGTGAGGGACAGCGCCCAGGCCCAGAGTTCAGGCCCCACGACTGGACACCCCCCCCCCCAAAAAAAAAAGAATATTGAATGGAATTGCTTTTGGGCTACTTGTAAATGAAAAAAAGGCTTTCGTGTTAAGACTTGAGTCCCATCCTTAGGATATCTCATTGTACTTAGGCAAATGTTCAGAAATTTGAAAAAAAGATGAACTTTGAAACTTCTCTGTCTTAAAGCATGTTGGACTAATGGACACTGAGCTTGTATTATTGATAATCTGCTCCAGACA